AGCCATATTGGCCTCTTACTAGTCTTCCTGCCTTGCCTTTGCATCAGGAGTCTCTAATGTTTGCCTCTGATCATGTTACTTCAGTGATTTCCAGCTTCCAGAATAAACCCTCCAGTTTGTAGATATGAAATACAAGAGTAAAGACCCAAGTCACTAAACTAAGGGACTGATCTTAGGAGGTGCTAAACACCCTCCTTTCATTACGACTTCAACAGGAGCAGAGTTTGCTCAGTAGCTAGCCAAGAGAGCTCAGCACTTTGCAGAAATGGACCCTACATGAAGATGCTCCTGGTAAAAAAGTTGCTATAAATGATTGGGCAAAAACCAGTGGTGTGATTGCTGGTGGAATCTGGTGTCCAGTTCTGGCGCCCACAATTCAAGAAGGATGTTGATAAATTCAAGGGGTTCAGAGAAGAGCCATGAGCATGATTAAAGGATTAGAAAACATGCCTGATAGTGATGGACTCAAGGAGTTCAATCTAGTTAGCTTAACAAAGTGAAGGTTAAGGTCTGACTTGATTAGTCTGTCAGTAGCTACATGGTAAACAAATACTTAATAATGAGCTCTTCAATCTAGCAGAGAGAGGTATAAAGATCCAATGCCTGGAAGATGAAGCTAGACAAACTGAGACTGGAAATAAGGTGTATATTTTTAATGACGAGAGTAATTAACTGTTGGAACAATTTACCAAGGGTCATAGTGGATTCTCCATCACTGACCATTTTTAAATCAAAGTTGGATGTTTTTCTAAAAGCTCTGCTCTCGGAATTATTTTGGGGATGTTCTCTGGCCTGTATTATACAGGAGGTCAGACTAGATGATCACCATTGTCTCTTCTGGACTTAGAATCTCTGACTCTATGAACCTGCATGACAGCGTGCAGGTGTAGCAGTACGCATACGAGCAAGAAGCTGCAGGATCAGGGCCTGAAAGAATTGACACTTCTTAGAATTTGGTGCTGTTTAGAATCTTCTTTCCATTTTTTTGTTTTAGAGGGTTTTATGCTTGAGGCATTCTCACACAAACGGGGAGTGTGGTGTTTCATATGTCAGGGACTGAGCCAGACCCATCAAATCAAATAGAATGACGTATGCCCAGAAACAAAGTCACCATTACTCTAGCGTGGTAAGAGAAACCCTGCATCGAATGGCTTTTACAGTGAATTGGCCTAATTCTCCATTTCATTACACCAATTTTATGCCAGCATAGCTCCACTGAAGTCCATGTGGAGAATTAGACCCTATAGCTTTGATGTGTTCAGTCTGGCTGAAACTCACTTTGGCTGCAGAAAGCCTGAGTGACTGGGCTCCGTGTGGTTGAAGTGCAAGGGGATGAGGCAGTGGAATTGGCTGCTGAACCCGAGGCCAGGTTGCAGAGGTACAGCATAGACCCCTCTGGCTGCCCCTCCAGCCTGTGGCACAGCAATGGTGTCCTGTAATGTGTTCCAACAGTTACAGCTCAGAGAAATGAAACAAACTCTCCCTGCTCAGATCGGTGTTGTCCGATCCATTCTGTATGCCACTTACCCTGCTCCTCCCTCTCCTTCTTCTGGGCCCCGAGGGCCTGTTTGGTGATGTCCATCTCCTGTTTTATTAGGTTGAGTCTGTGGGTGATCTCGCTCGCTTTCTTCTTCCTGTCGCTGAGGATGGCTTTGTTCTCCTTAAAGATCCGGTTGATCTCACTTCCTCGCTCATTTTTAAACTCCTCAAATGCCACCAGCTTAGCGGGAGGGGAACTGCGCCAGGGTTCAGAGAAGGAGAAAATACAGGAAGGGTCAGTTGTTCCAGCTTCAGGTTTACTTATTGCACCTGAGTGGACTGATAATCAGTGTCTGCAAATTACACCTCATGGGGCGTTTTCAGAACCTATCGACACTTGCAGCCTCACGGTGCTCTCACTGTGCTAACCTTCAGGCCTCCTTCTCTCCCGGGATGGCTTGGCCTATACTAGCAATTTATGCTGGTATGACTCCATCACTCTTCCACACCCACCTAACTCCCAGTGGAGACGGCGCTATGTCAGCGTGAGGGCCTCTCCTGTCGAATAGCTACCACCTCTTGCGAAGGTGGCGTACCTGCGCTGACGGGAGAAGCCCTCCCATTGACACACACAGCATCTTCACTGACGCGCTGCAGCGGTTCAGCTGCAAAGGTACAGCCTTTTAAGTGTAGACAAACCCGACCACTCCAAGAAGGAAGAGTTACTTACACAGAAGCAAAGTTCCCTAGCAGCTGTCTCAGTTGAATCGTCCCAGAAAGTTGGATCTTATGGATCCAAACTTCTGAGTCTTGTTGCCTCTGAGGCCAGTCTGGGAACCCAGGGGAGGAGAACCAGAAAGTGGTCAGCAAAGATCTAAGATGGTGCTAGTATTTTCTATGGATCTACATCTTAGGTTAACCTCCCACGGG